ACAATGGTATAAAAAAAAATTGCATCGGATTCTCCTGTAAAGCATTTTTCCAATCATCGTTGCGATAAAACCATAGTACTTCTCCTTTTCCTCGTCTGAATTGACATAGTTTCCGTTTTAAAAACTTTTCAATCACATTCAAATTCAAAAAACATTTTCTGTTGATTTCCAACTAGAGTAAAGACGGTATTGAGCAACAGGGCAGACATAAATCATAAGTCGTGTGTAGACTTCGCAAACAGGTAGGATTGGGCGAATTTGGATTGAGTCATCTTGAATATTAGGTTGTTTGGGTTAGATCATTTTGGATGTTAGGTTAAGATGATGGATCCATAATTCACCTACATGAGTTTTGAATTGGGTCAGATAGATACCACTTTTAAAAAGTTAAAATTAAAATTAAAATTGTTTTATATATTTTTTATTTTTTTAACAAAATATAATATTAATTAATTATTTAGTTAAAAAACTTTATTACTAATGTTTAGTTAGAAAACTTCTTATTAAACGTTAATTTCAATTTCATAATTTAAAATTTTTTCAATCTCAAGAAAAGAAAAAGAAAATATTAGTATTATATATGTAGAATTAAAATATATGTCAAATATATAATACTTATATGATATTTAGAATTCATAATTTCATAAAGGTATTAACCTTTATTAAAAGAAGAGACATAAAAAATTAGAGTTCAAAAGACAAATATAATATATATATATATATATATATTATTATCTAGTGCCTATTCAATATTTGTAAGAGTATTATATAAAAAATACAGTTTTATTTAATATTTAAGAGGGGATTATACAAAAAAATATATAACATTATTTAATATTAAAGTTTAAAAAGCAAATCCAAAATATGTCTAATCAAATACAAGAAGAAATTGGATTGAAATTTATTTTTATTAATTAGAAATAAATTATTAATTAAGAACAAATTAGCAACTAAAAACAGACTTTGATGTTTTCGATGTTTTTATCTTTGTACTTCTAATGGTTATAAGGATATCTTAACCACTGTGTTTTAATTTTTAATAAGCATTCTTGTTTTTATTTTTAAAAAATTATCCTTTTTGTGATGTCATATAACATAACTCACTATATGCTACATAATCTATTTTTTCACACAAGTGCCACAAAAGAGAAGGATTAGAAAGCTTGAGATGAAGAAGAGGAGAATGAGAGTGGAAAAGAAAAAAAGTTAAGAGAAAGTGAAATTGATAAGAGATTAGGTTTTGAGAAAGTGAAATTGATAAGAGAAAAAAATTTATATTTTTAAATTTCTTTTAACCTTAAAAAGATCTCAAACAATAAAAAATTTAAAAGTTTCAAATCCAAACTTTTTATAAACTTCTTTTTCACTCACTTTTCACTCACTTTTTTTATTTCTAAAAACAATTTTTAAATTTCCTCTCCAATAAAAATTTAAACTTATCACTCATAA